CAGCTGCCAATTGGGCATAGACAAGCAGCCATGTTCGGCCTCCTACCAGATCTGACACCACGAGACGTGAGCTCATCTCCCGCCCCTCGCTCCTCCGCACCCCCCCCTCGCTCCTAGCATCCATCTAACTCTGTCGCGAGCAGTCACACTCGATCTGGTACATCTCCTCCCGCAACCCCGTAACCCAGGCCGCCCTTCTCGACGCCCACGACCAGCGCGACAACAATCATGGCGGCCCCTCCCAGCAACAGCAACAGTACAACTCCTCCTCCCGCCGCGCGGGCCAGCTTCTGATAGAACGATCGGCGCTCGCGCGCCTCCGCGCCGACGAGCAGCAGATGGACCGCCGCCGGCTGCACGTCCAGAATTTCGGTAGCACGTGGCTGAAGCCCCCGGGCGTGCCTAAGAGCCTGCACCAGACGCGCGAGGAGAAGCGTGAGCAGGAGGAGCACGCCGAGGCGATGAGGCGGGAGCAGCTCGCGCAGGAGCTCGCCGAGGCCGAGGCCGCGGGGCAGGACGGGCTCGGAGACGTTGTCGAGGGTGAGGAGGCGGGCGAGGGGGCAGAGGAGGTGCGAGATCTGGACGATGAGATTCCAGACGCCGAGGAGAGTTTCGGGTTCGATGGTGGGGAGGATAGTATGGCGGACGAGCTGTCGAGCAGTGAGGGCGGCACCCTTGACGACGGCGACGACGACGACGACGATGAGGACACGGCAGATCAAGAAGATGAGGATGACGACGATGACAGCGGCACGGCCATCGACGAGGACGAGAGACGCGATGGGCTCGTGGCTGCGAGAATGCGCATGGCAGACGACGCCTTCAGACAGGCCATGGCGAGGGGCGACGTCGACGGAGACGACATGTACGGCGCGGAAGAGGAGCTCGAGGCCTCGGGCCAAGGCCACATGCTCGACGAGGAGGACCTCCTCGCCCCTGGTGAAGGCGGCGGCGACGACCTGGGCATGGACATGGACGCCGACCTCGACGACGAGATTCCCGAGGCCGGGGAGCTGAGCGGCGTGTACGAGCACACGGATTCCGAGGCCGGTCTGAGCATGATGAGCAGCAGCGACGCGCCCGGGGCGAGCTCCGACGAGGACGAAGAGGAGGAGGACGACGATGAGGGTGACATCAGTTTCGCGCCGCGGGCCGCGCCCTTGCGACCGCCGCTGAGTCCGACGGGCGATCGCGGGCGGGGCCCGAGGAGCAGCATGGACCTGAGCGGGCTGCTGTCTGCGGATGGGAGCAGTATGATGGACAGCAGTCCGAACTTTAGGGCGCAGAGGCGTTGAGGATCCAGGACGCGAGAGAGAGAGAGAGAGAGAGAGAGATAATGTTAGGCGGGATGAACCAAGATACCCCCTTTTCTGTACTGCATGCAAACTACAATATGGTCGACCTCAGCCTAGGGAAACTGATGGAGAGAAGCGCCGCCTTAACTTTCGGAACCCAGGTCTTGTTTTGGCGGTGACCCCCTTGCACAAACACCGACGGATAGACGAGAGACGGGCCACAGGAGTCTCTACGCGGACTGAGAAAAGTGTACCATTAGACGATAGACACGTTGTTACAAAAAACAAATTAAGCACAAGCCAAATTCTTCGTCTTTGTCTTCCCGATAGTACGACAAGTGAGTAAGAAACAGGTCACGCCCACCCCCTCCGGCCCCTACTCTTCCTTCTCCTCTACCACCCGTGCATATACGCGCTCCCGGTTCGTGTCGGAGCGCCCGATTCGTGTCGTTGTCGTCGTCTTCCCTGCTGACTCGTCCTCTCGCGGCCTACGCCGATTGTCGGTGGATGAGGAAGGGGGCGCATTCAGGGTAGGGGCAGCGGACGGAGGCTGAACGACGTGAAAACGCCTTGAACGCCGAGCATGCATGCAGGATAGTGCTACAAACAAACTCCTCGAGGACTATGCTTCGAAAAAGCCAACCCTCCCCAAAAACCAATACCAACGGCCGGCCCTATTTGCTTCGCTTCGGTGTTCGCGACAGAGACCCCTCTGAGACCGTTTTGTTCGGGCAAGTAACCAGGCACGTTGGGAGGATTCCGGCCGGCCCGGCCATGCGAGTCTTTGGTACGAACCCTCTGCCCTTGCCGCCCTCTCTCGCGGCGTCTTCGAAATCCCGATATGCCCTTTCGGATCGCTCGCCCGGTCTAGAACAGCCACACGTACATAAAGATGAGGCATACGGCCGCGAAAAAGCCGAGCCACACCTTCCAGCCGACGCCGGTGCGCTCGGCCATGAGCAGCATGCGGTTCATGGTGCCGCGGATGCGCAGGCGCGTCGAGTCGAAGGTGTCGTTCATCTTCTCGGCAAGCGCCGAGGACTCACGGATTTCGTCGCCGATGGCCACCGTCATCTGCGGAGCAACATGTCAGCCGGCTAGTTCGCCTTTCGAACGTTGTCCCGTGAAGCAAGCTCCTTCGTAGTAAGAACAGGGTTTAAGGAGGGAGGAAGGGGGGACGTACACTCTTCAGAATCTTGACCTTGCCCATGATGCCCTCAACCTGCGCGTCGTTCTGGCTCTCGAGCTCGTTCAGCACGGCGTCGCTATACTGGCCACTATAACCAACACCCGTCAGCACCCTTACTCTCGAACCAACACCCCCCTCTCTCGCCCGTGGCCGTCGTCGCCACGGCTCTGGATCAGCCTCAACCTTCGAGTGTGGGGTTTTCGTACCGTTTGTTCGGCGTCGCAGGCCGGAATCCTCGGCCGCCATCGACGCCAAGATGGCTCCCGCCCGAGGGCGGCGCGGGCGAAGCGCTGTTCCCCGCGTATCCGTACCCGTATCCGTACCCACCGCCAAGCCCTGAAGGCGAGGCGCTTACAGGCCGACGGCCGGTGTCGCCGGTGTAGCCCTCGAAAAGGGCGCTGCGGGAGTCGCGCTGGTGCAGCGAGGAGGCGCCGAATCTGTGCGCAACGGGGCAAAAGGTCAGCCTCGGTGTCTTTCCCCATCTGTCGAGATCCGTGGTAGATCGCGCAAGAAGAACGAGTCGTTGCTGGCGAACTGGCGGACAGAAAGCGGACGAGGTCGCAATACGGAGACGTCATCATCGCCTTCGAAGTCCGCCCCCTTCCCCGGGTGTTCCGGCTCGTGCCTCGCGACCTCCAAGTCTTTTATAATGCCATGCTCGCGTGGAAAGCGCGAGGTTGCATTTCTCGGAAACGGGGGGTGGTGATGCGTGCTGTGAGGGGAGTCGATGTACGCACCTTGAAGACATAGTGTCCAGATCGTCGCGTCAAGGCGCGCGCGCTGCTTCAGCGACGAAGCTCTCTCTCAAGACTGCCGATAGAAATGCAGGCGATGACCTCCAGTGCCCGCGGTGTGGTTTAAAGAGCAGGGGCTTGGAAGGGGGCTCGTTGATTGTCGGACGCCTGGGAGGCAACTGGTTTTTTGCTTCGACTTCTTCCCCTCCCCCTGGTCGAGTTGTCATTCAAAAGATCGGTAGCGCTGCTGCAGACCGGGGTGGGTTGGCCGTGAGGTGCTTGGGAAAAGGCGAGGCAAGCTGTAAGCGTCGAATCTCGGTTGGGGCGATCTCTACTGATTTAGCGGCCGGCCGTGCTGCTCGGCTCCTTAACCCCCCCTTTTTTACTTTTTTTTACCTTGTTGACGTTTTGCTCGGTCTGTCCGGCCCCTGTTCCGGAGAGAAGGTGGGTGGTGCTGTAGGGGTCGGGATTGACGGGTTGGTGGGTGGGTAAATAGGTAATGAGAACGAACAAAGCGCGATGGATTTCATGCGTGGGAAAGGGGAGACAGAGCGCAGTTCAATCAATACTCGACCAGCATGTATGTGCCCGTGGATGACGAGATGTTTGGGACGTGAAGCGCGGACCAGGAGAGGTTCTCGCGTAAAGTAGGTAGGTAATGGTCTAATGCCCGGAATAAGTGCGCCATCGGGGCGTACCTGTCAAAATAGTACAATGATACTTACTGTACGTCCATTTTGACACTCCTAGTTTCCCTCGCCGTCACGGCCACGTTCTTTGGGCACGGGAGTATCTTGGGGATACGTGTCACTTCGACATCCAATCGGAAACGGGCAATGAATCCCCAAAGAAAGATATTGGTTGAGCGCGAAAGAGACACCTTTTCTAATCGGACGTGGACAGACAGGATGTCACTGGGTTCGGCGTTGACCGAAAGCCTCGTCTGTGCAGTCGGACGTGGTTCACTTACCTAGTAGAATGGCAGGGTTCTAGAACATCGAACGAGCTGCATGTTCTCAGTCTCAGTTCGCCTTACCTTCCTGCACTTCCCAGCCAAGTCCTAGCGCTCAGAATACAATAAAAACGTCATGTTACTACTGGAGAATTGTGGGAAGACTGGTTTCTGGCTGTCCAGATTGCAGTGCACAGAGGCGGCAAATCTCCCAAGGGACCGAGTACGTACACAGCATTGCCAAGGCAGTGCCTGCTTCCAGCAACTTTACGATGCATTGATCGGCGACTAAGCTGGCAGCGTCTGGATCCATGGCTCTGTACTTACTACCTATCTAGCCGAGGAGAGTTTGCTTCCACGAATGCTGGCTAAGCACTGGTTGCCGCAAAAGTCAACAGTCCAACTAGATGCACAAGCACCAAGGGTCCATCCAATGTTGCACAATCTTCATTTCCATGGCACTCATAGTCAACATGGCGACATCAGAGGCAGGGCAGCCTATAGAACAGATGATGTCCCACGCAACCAAAATAACGGGCCGGACGAGACGACTGAACAACCCGTCTCCATACCTTTCGAGAGCAAGACCCCCACCGGCTCAAAATCACATGTCCAACCACCACCAAGTCCTTGTCATCGACGATGTAGGGCATGCAAATCGGTACCAAAGCCCTGGGTTCTCAAAACTTTTGTGTAATCCCCATTTTCCGTGTTTTTCGCATGCGCATAAAGTGTGCCTTTTGCCATTTCCCCAATGACTGTCATGATGAGAAGCCGTCTCCCTATGTAAAGGTGTGGAACGGCTGGAGGAAGAAGACGTGCTCGCTGCTTTAATCCTCATCCATCCTGGAATCGTCGGGGGCCTGGAAGTCGTCGTCCTCGTCGTCATCCTCATCCTCGGCAGGGTTCTCCTCGGCAGCCTTCGCGAAGTCGATGACACGGCCGCGGGTACGGCGGCCGCCCTCGACGATGTTGTTCAGGTCGATCTCCTCCATGCCGTCCTCCTCCTCAACTATAGTCACGGCGTGTCAGTCACAAGATTGCAATGCAGTTCAAGACGGCAGGTTCGTCCTACCAGGCTCGGCGACCTGTCGTGATGACGTTAGCTTCGACGCAAAACGGTAAAAGGTGTCGGCGACTTTATCTACATACCTCGGCGTTCTCCTCCTCGTCGCTAGACTCCTCGTCCTCCTCCATGGGGTCGCTCTTCTCAATGGGCTCCTCGCCGGCAACAGCCTTGCCCTTTCCCTTGATCTCCTCAGAAACGCCAGCAGCGACGTTCTCGTTCTCGGCGGCCATTGTGTAGAGTTTCGTCGGGATTCGTTCGTGCGTTGTGTGGTTGAATTTGCGCAGAAGCTGATCGACGTAAGACGCTGTCACAGAAAATAAAGAAGGGATGATGGTTGTGGTGGCGGAGAGATAGTTGGGGGTGGATGTAGGTGGGTGAAGGTTGAGAATGGAAAGTGGAGGCAAAGCCTTGCAGGCAGGCGATGGTTTTAAGAGTTCGATCGTACCTTCCCGGGTCCAGGTCCCAACTTTTTAGACTGTACAAGGCATTTGTGGTGTGCATGCGACTGCGCAGGTGTCTCTGGGCAACAACGCTAGTCTCTTATAGTGCTGGCGCGCTGAAAGCCTTTGTGCACGTGCCACCTTCGCTCCTTCCTGCCTGCCAGAGTAAACTACCTAGCTACGGGCGCCTCCATACTGGAAATTATCCAAGACGAGTCCAGGCAAGAGACGCTCAGCTGCCGACTACTTACCTCAGTACTTATACTCCGCTACAATAACTCATGTTTAACCATCCGGCGAGGAACTCTCATTCAGTGACAGGGAGAGCCCTATTTCGTGAGAGGCAGCATTGAAGTCGTTAATAGTATACCGAACAGGGACTACTTATCGAACAGCTGCTTCACAGTTGGCAGGCCATTTGCGTTTACGTGACACCGACTCCAGTGCCCATTGCCGAAGAGACAGGTGTAGAGTGCTGTGTGCAACTTCTTCAGGCCCAGGTCACTGATGGCTCATAAATGTCACCGTTTCTGTGCAACAGGGCAGAGTCATGAGTGCGTCTGCCAGACTTCGATGCCCAAAAGGGAACACATGCGGTAGTGAAGAACGCAAACCATCATCCATTGGGTATTCGTCATGGCTCTCCTCTATTTTCCTTCTCCCCCACCCGTAACCGTCATCAGCACGACAATGGCAATCACCCACCAGTACCTGCACAAACGTTAGCAGCTCCTCTCCCGCTTTCCAGACCGCCGACGCTTGCGGGATGGATTCAACATACTTTAACCAGAGCGGCTTCTCCTCCTGGACGACCTTCCTACCCTCGGGGCTCAGAACAATCGGCTTGTTCAGCTCGGGCGTCTTCCCTTGCACGCCGACCCGCACGACAGCCTGCGGGCCGAAATCCCTCGTCGCACCCGCATCGATCCGTACGCCCTTGAGCCCGGCACCCACGACGTCCCCCGAGACGCCGTCCACGTTGAGTATGATGTTGGGCGCGTACCCCTTGGCAAAGTTCTCCGTCGACGCCACAGACACAGATGAGGTCCACTCTGACGTTGAGGGGTCGAAGACGCCGATGCGGACGAGCTTAGGGGCCGGGCTGTCGTTGGCGCCGGCTCCGAGGTCGGGCGCCTCGAAGGAGGTGACGCTGGCGTCGGCGGGCTGCTTGGCGTCGTACTCAACCTCGGCTAGAAGGACAGGCGTCTGCGGTGTGGGCGAGACGGGTTCGATGTAGACCTTTGCAAGGCGCGTTTCGGCGGCGGCGAGGGTCGCTGCGAAGAGCGCCGAGAGGAGGGTGGTCGCGCGCATGGTTGCGGGATGTCTTTGTAATGTATGACCCGTTCGTGTATATGTGTATATGTGTGCGCGCGCGCTCTGGCCTCAGCTGCAGGTTTGTTGAGGGGGGAGATCCGGGTTGCGGACGAGGTTGTGACGTTGAATGGTGAATGACAGCAGAGAGGTTCGACGGGGGTCACCTTGCTAGAGGCCGGGATTAGCTCGGCTGATTGCCCTGTGTGCGTGCGCGCGCGCGCGCCACGGCTGGAGAGTCGAATTGTCAATCTGCTCGCTATTGAACACGCCTCGGCAAAAGATAAGAATAGGTCTCAAAGCATGACATTTCCAAAATGTTCCAAAATGTTCCAAATCAAGTGGTGCGTATTCTGCAAACATTTCAGAAGAACACTGGTATTTCATTGACGCTGTCACTCATAATATTTGAATAAAACAAAACGTTTCCCCCATGTCCAAACGCCGTCTAACCATGCTTCTTGAGGCAGCAGTAATGCCCACCCATTTTTTAAAATCAGAATGATGACTGAAACACGCCTTCCTCATAAAAGCTGTCTATGCAGCCTGTGAAGGGCCTGCACCTTCGCCGTGCGGCGACTTGGCTGGGCTCGCCTCGTCCGGCAAGTCGCCGCTGTCGTCGCATGCTTCATCAGAAATTTCCGTCGAGCCGCCGTCGTCCATCACGTCGGAATCATCAGCTTCGTCAACCGCATCCTCCTCTTGCAGTGCGTAGCCCGGACAGCGCTCAATGAGGCCGCGATAGTACGCCACAAGGATCTCGGGGTTCGGAACAATCTTCCAGTCCACCCTGTAGAGAAACTCGAGCTCCAACAGCTTGAGCTCGGCGACCCTCACTCCCCCAACCCGCGCGTACGTCGTGTTATTCCAGAACAGATCTGACAGGCCTTTGGCTGCTACAGTGGCTGCTGTTATCAAGAAGCGATGAACGGTAAGTGTGTTGATGGTGAATTCGGGGTATAAAGCGCATAGACGATCGATATAGTAGACCATGGATAGTAGCAGAGGCGGCGTCAGCGTCGCATGTTTTGCTAGTCTGTTGAGATATTCAAGAACCGAGATGCTCGGTGCGGTTCTGCCCAAAAGGTTGGTGAGCACTACAACATCACAAGGCATGAGGGCAAAGAGGGGAGAGGACATTGCTTACCTCGAGTGGAACCGGGTCAGGCTCCCGGAACGCAGGGCAAGCGCGTCATTAGTTTCAATCAGCTCGGAGAGCATGTGCGATATCAAGACAACCATATCTTCGACGACACAGAACTCGTATCGCTGCGGCAAGATTTTCGGGGGGGCAGCTGCGGGCTTGGGGCGCTTAGCCGCGCTCGAGGAGGACGACAACGACGACGACTCGCCCGCGGCGGATGCACTCGCCGCCTGTGCGACGGCCGGGTCCTGGGAATTTCGTCGCTTGCCAGGCGACGCAATAGTGGCCGAGGCCTCGCGGATGGCGGGCGCCACGGCGACCTGCGTTTGCGGGTTTGGTTTCCATTGTGTGCCGGGCGGCGGTTGCGGTGCCGACTGGTCTATCGGGTGTGGACGCGGCGCTGGTGGGGGTTCGGCAGGCGTCGCGGGCACAGAAACGCGCGGGTCGTTGGTGGCTTCAGCAGGAACATTTTCTGCGCGCTGCTGGGCCGGAGACTCCATGGGGGAATACTGGGTACCGGCGTCGACAGCTACATAACGTCGCGGGTGTGGTTGAGAGGAGGGTGAGGTCATTGAGGCGGACGGAGAAGATCTGGAGGCAGAGTGCCGCCGCGGCAAAGGGGCCGAAAGCCGGGCAGGAGACGAGTGCGGGGAGGGTCGCGTAGGGACATAGTGGAAGCTGTTGGGCGAGGCATTGGCGGAACCGGCGACGACGGGAGATGTTGTCAACATGGTCCCGGGCGCATCGTGGGTTCGCAGGCGGCAGAGAGAGCGGACCGGCGACGAGCTGGGAAGTTACCGTGAGAAAGCTAAGGATTTAGGCAGATTGAGGCGGGATAAGATATGGCCGTGCAGCGTGTGGTGCACGCGGTATGTGATGTAAGGCGGCGGTTGGAAGGTCCAGATTTGCAGATTGCCAAAAAGCTGAGATCAGATTGACACAGGCACACGGCCGAAAAATCGGCAAAGGAGGGGCTCTTCGTTGCCGACTTGGTGGACGTGATGGATCCGACAGACTGACGCTACTGCGCGAACTCCGGTATTGCCACCCCCTTGCCCTTGGGCAAAAAACCTGGCCAAGATACCGAGACTGGCCAGAGTCTGTCTGGACGGCAGTTCGGCATCAATCATGTACTAGCGGCCCCGGCAGCAGCATCAGCAGCAACAGCAAAAGGTGACCAGAGCAAGGGAGTAACAACACGAGGCCATGGAGAAGAACAGGAGAAGAAGCAAAGAAAAAGAAAGAAAAAAAAAAGAGAAAGAAAGTGGACTGAGACGAGTAAGGACACCGCCACGAGTCACTGTATGTCTACCTATGTGTTATGGTTACTGTATGTACCTTGGGTATGATCTGATGGTCTCCAGTATCGGAGAGGGAGTTGGAATGAATTACGGATACACTAACCACCTATCTCCTTAGGTACCCATCTCGGAAGTGCCCGTAGGAGCAGTCCGCTGCCCTACCCATGCACCGCCTGGCCAGTATGGATGTTGACTAGCATGGTTGGACATACCTACCTATGCATATCTGTGTATGCCGTGGGACATGAAAAGGGATGAGGGAGCGCCCTCTGCGGTCAGCCCAAGTCTTGCACTACTAGCTAGGCAGCTAGCTAACTACATCGGTGCACTTGCTGTGGGATAGTGGGGAAGATACAAGTACTGTGTTTCACTGTCACTCTGGCCTGCTTCTTCTTCTTCTTCTTCTTCTTCTCCTTCTCCTCAGGTACATCCGAACCGTGCCATTTTTGTTCGAACGTCCCTCCAATCCCGTTATCAATGGCAGCGCTGCCTGCCCTTATGCCCTCTCGTTCTTATGATTCAATATCCAGAAGGGGGTGGGGCCGCTCTTCTGGGTTGGGACACCGAGAGGAATGCCGCTAAGGCTGCTCTGGGGCCGGTGCTGCAACCATTTTACCGCTAGCTGGAGCGATTCCGCGAACCAAGTGCCCTCTTACGCATATGCTAGGTAACAAGGTCTTGGCTGGGGCGAGGCCTATCGACGACTGCAAGCGCCGTTTGGGGCGGCTCGGGCTCTGCCTCCCTTGAAGGAGGAGTGACTGATACAGGCTCGGCATCGTACATCGGGAAGGGTCCCCGGCGAGCCGGTTAGTTCCAGGCCTGCTCCAACAGAACCTCTCTGGACAGGTCTGTCTATCCGCCCGCCTGACTCGGCTTCAATGTGCAGGTATACACGAGGGCGCATTCGACGCCGTATGGGGGGCCAGCCCTCTACCACTGCGATATTTTCTGTCCTCTATTTATCGTATGCCGTGGGCCATTCGTCAATTGCCACTTCTCTTGCGCCAGAACATCTACCCCTCATCTTTACGACTGTGCCGCCGTGGTACATGTGTCACCGAGCTGGTTCGGTTTTCGATAGGCGGTTCGCGTTGTTCCCGGGCGTCATATTGGTTAGATATCAACGACAGGTTAATGTCCTGGCAATGGACGTCTACCTCCGATAGCATCCGTAGACCCCCTTGGTCCTGCAAATGTAGAGTATAGGTCCTCTCTATTTAGTACACTTTGACTAGGAGGCCTTTGAAGCAACTAAAACTATTCGATGTGGAATGCGGTAGGTATCTGGCTTAACGATGGCTACTTTTGCCCTTTTTTCTTTACTCGGCATCGACGCTGCATGTACTGCTCTTGTCTACAGCCGAATACCTGCAATAACGACCGTTTCGAGAGTACGTAGGTAGCCGGCCAGTCATACACACTCGTAGGACAGACGCACAACCGTGATTGTAACGGAGGCGGTCCGTTCTCATTTCTGGCGAAGCTTGACTGCTGGCTTCACCTAGCTACCCGCCCTACCTATGAGAAGACATGCAAAGCATCAAAATTTCCGAATGTTGGTTGAGTTCCCGGTTAGCTCAATTGGTCAGAGCGTCGGACTTTTAGCTATAGGTTCTCCGCGAGCCTTGCTGATGATATCCGAAGGCTGCGAGTTCGACCCTCGCATCGGGAGAATTGATTTTGCTGTTCCTGGCAATCAATCATGTTATATAGTTTTGCTGCGAGCGCGGTTTTGCATGGCGGCCTGCGATTACACTGATGTTTAGAACCGTGCCCGGTCCCTTGTGATCGGTTTTTAAACAATCACATACTGGAATAAGAGGGGCTGTTTCATAAACTCCTCCCTCTGGCATCCAAGGTTTATCTGTTTGTCAATGTTCCTGACACAATGAAGAAAGAGTCGCTACCGACCGCTCAGGGAGTCAGTGATGTCTTGTCGTCTTCAGCATATTATTGATTTCACTAGGTTAGTCCGACACGGACGGCCCGGGCATCAATCATTAGAATAGACCCAACAAGCTGCTCGCCCCCTTCACGACACGTCGAGCCGCCACAAGTTGCGTGCTCAACAAAGGCCTTGCGGTAGTCTATGCTGCATTTGTCGGGTGCTCTAGCCGCTTTCCGGCGCAGTCAGAAATTTGTTGATATGTATAGCAGTTGTTAGAAATTGGGCATCTGGAGCGAGGGGGGGGCCCATGAAGCTGAACAAGCACTAGTAAGTCGGCTTATTTGGCAAAGATTCCTTTTCCCAAAGTTGTAAGTCATGACAAGTACGGATTGACGTTGGTGGAAGGAGACAACACGGCAGAGACAGCCAAGCAGGGGTTTAGCCGCATGGCGGCCCCTTACCTCCACTCCAGCGCTGCGTTGCCCGCTGTCTACCTAGGCAGGTGCAATACAACCAGGTGAAGCTTCTACCAGACGTTGAGGTCCCGTCACTATTCGAGAAACCTTTGCATAATCAATTTGATTAGCGAGATTCCTCTTGCATGCAATGCCATGGTCTGATCGACAACCTCCTTGACCTCCAGCGCTGTTACACTGACACTGGTCGCTCTCCCCCAAGCTTCAGCTACCTACATACCTACCTTAGCATGTGAGAATCCTGAAACCGGCCGGTTGCGATATAAGGTAGAGAACGCACGTGCCTCACCCCAGGTTTTCCAACAGCCGATAGTCTCCCAGTCGCCCAGTTGCCCAAACCATCGGTCCCGACGTGATCATCCGCGATCTATTTCGTGGACGATATCCATCTTCGGTTCCTTTTGTTTCCAGAGGGACGATCCTCGATTCTCGACCCAACCCCCTCGACTCTCTTGGATAGCATTTACGAATCAAGGTCGTCGGGTATTGCCACACGCCTTTGGGAAACGCCTGGCCACGCCTGTCTACGGAGCACAGCCCACATTTGCCCTCTCATTGACCGTTTGCATGGACCTTGACCTCTGACGCCCGCAAGATCCATTGCCACAGCTGCACCACTTCGTCCTTGCAAGCACATGACGCCGTGGCCGAAAGACGATAGCAGACAACAGAAGCTCCCCTCTACATACCATATCAAGCCGCCCGCCGAAATATCGCCATGACGCGCTCGTCGAATCTCCCGATTCTTTCGCAACTATTGAGTGCAAGGAGCTACGCCGAGCAGACGGGTGCGCTACGGGCGCTTAAGAACGATATCGTCGGGCATGCACAGAAGAAGGAGATGTGGGCTGGGCTGGGCGCCCTGAACCCCATCGTCCAGATACTCAATGCTGCCCGATCGCCAGCCAAGGTCAACGGCAAGGACACTCGGCCCGGTGCCAGCCCCCGATATGTGAGCGAGGAGGAGAATGTGAGACTTCAGGCGCTCCAGCTGCTGGCGAGCTTCGCCAACGGTATGTCTTCGTCTCGCTGCCATGGTTCCCCTACCGCCTACTGACTGAGGTCTGTTCCAGGTGGCACCGCCTTTGTCGAACCTCTTCTCGTTGCCGGCGCCCTGCCAGCTGTGCTAGACAACATTTGCCCCGTCTCGAACGCTCCCTTGCTCGTTACGGCTGCTCTACGTGTTCTGCTCAACATCATCGAAGCCGCCGCTCTGGCGCAGCCGACCTCTCCGGTGGACACGCAGGCTTTGGCCGAAGCCATATTTGCTACTGAGCACATCGATTCCTTCAACAGCATATTATCCAGTACATCTACCACGTCCGAGCAACAAACACAAGTAATATTGGTAGCGAACATAATCAGTCAGTCATGTCGGGACGAGAGGCATCAACTCGCCATGGCAAGCCAAGGAGTGCTCGATTCACTCGCAACGCGGCTGGCGAGCATCGCCGTCGCCCTAGGGCATGTCATCCCGTACGCCGAGGTGCTCGGCCGGGTGGATCGAATGTCTGACTTCATCCCGGAGCCCGCACCGTCAAGCTCTACTCTGGCCCCGATCTTGGAGGCACTGGCTACCATAATCTCAGACTCTCGGTTCAGAGCTTGCATGTTGCTGTGCTCCCCGGCGATCATGGCCATCTTTCCCGCTATGAAGTTTACGCCATCAAAGGAAGTCAGGGCTCCCTGGAACTCTCTTGATGTTAGCGGCCTGGGATTTGCACGGCAGCAAAGTCTCAGTGCCGTAGACTATCTGCTTCCTGCCGTCCCTATCCACCAAGGCCGGGTCTCTGGTTCCCAGCAATCGCATTTCCCTGCTTTGGGCTCCTCCGAAGCGCGAGAGCGGGCTCGCTCAGCGGCGACCAAGTACACCTCTACGGCTTCCGTCTGGGAGGCTTCCCGGTTCGAGCTGTTTGGTAACGAAGGGGAGCCCGAAGAGGAGCAAGAGAGCCCTCTCATTCCTTGGTTAATTGTTTTGGTCAGGTCACGGCAGAATATGGAACGGTTGATGGCCGCCAACCTTCTCACCTCGCTCTTCCGGTCTGGGTTCGGCATTAAGTGCTTGAGAGAAGCCAGCCTTGGGTTACTGGTCGTCCCTGTGCTCATGGATATGTTGGACCAACTTCAGTCAGCGCCACCCATTGTCAAGTCGCCCCTTGTCGATGCGGATACGGCATTGAGGTGGGCAATGCTGGAGAAGACGCCAGCAATACTCGCTCGAATGATCACGGACAGCGAGCCGCTCCAGAAGGCTGCTTTCGATTGCGGAGCCGTCAAATGTTACAGCAAGCTCCTCAAGGATGCGTACGAGCCGATTCCAGCGTCGGCGTACGCCAAGGTTTGGTCGCCGCAAGTGGACCACGCCATGGAGGCGGAAGACACATCTCCCTCATGTGCTCTGGGGCCAGAAGGGCAGCCGCCGCTCCTAGCTCATAGAATAAGGATGCGCGAAAGCGCTCTAAAAGCGATAGGCGCTCTGGCGGCCGGCAAGGACGAGTATCGTAAAGCTTTCGTGGAGCAGGATGTCGTCGCTCACATTGTGCAATCACTCTCGCCTACGCCTGGCAAGCCGTCAAATCCCAAGGACCGCAGCAAACCCAACGAACCGGATGGACCCGTGGGCGATGGATCTTCATCTGACCATAACTCCGGGTACGGCAGCAATCCGTTGCCGGTGCTGATTGCGGGCTGTCACGCAGTCAGAATGCTGTCGCGGTCTGTAAGCATTCTCAGAACATCATTGGTGGACTACGCCGTGGCAGTCCCTCTCTTCCGGTTCCTCAGACATCCCGACGCAGATGTTCAAATTGCCGCCACTGCAGCGATATGCAATTTGGTCACCGAGGTCAGCCCCATGAGGGAGGTAAGTGCAAAGATGAGGCCCCGTCTCGAAAAGCATGAATGAAGCTGATGATTGCAGGTTCTGGCCGATAGGGGTGTCATGAAGATTCTGTGCGAGCATGCGCATTCCCTCAATCCCGCGCTACGCCTCAATGCCCTTTGGGCATTGAAGCATTTCGTCCACGCAGTTGACCCGGAGACCAAGAAGCATTGCTTGGAGGAGCTCGAGTCTGGTTGGCTGGTGCAGCTCATCTGTGACGACACGGAAGACGACGCACTGTTCCTCGCGAGATATAAAATGGACAAGCAGAATGCGGTGGACAGCGGGGACGACATGGACGGCGACATCGAAATGGACCAGGCAGACCCGTTGTCCAAGTCATGGATAAGCTCGACGATGCCGCCACAAGACGCAGATGGCAAGCGATCGGCTAAACTACGACAGGCAGAAGCCAGGCTAGCAGCTCTTCGCGAGGCTGAGATCAACCCGTTACGAAAAGCGCGAAACGATGACCTCGCCATCCAGGAACAAGGTCTCGACTTTATCCGGAACATGATAGGGGCGGCAGGCTCTGGATCAAACTCCGAATCGCCCAGCGACACCACGGAGATGATTGATTACCTCTTCAGCGAACTCGGCCAGGATAGATTCTTCGACATACTCGCCAGGAAGCTGCAGGCCAAGGTCCTCCACCCAACGTCGAGACGGTCCGCGGGGTCGGCACGCGAGACCCGGGTGCTCTACCCACAGGCCAAGATCATCGAGGCGGTGGTTTTCATCCTAGTCCACATGGCGGCCAGCATCCCGCGCCATCGGCAGCTGGTGATTGCTCAAACGGACTTGCTCAAATTGCTGGCGAACCACTTCAATAGTAAGGATAAGGAGGTGCGAGTTGCCCTCTGCCACCTAATCAGCAACCTCACATGGCAGGACGACGAGAGCGATACGCGAGCGTGTGCCCAGCGGGCGTACGAATTGAAGAAGTTAGGTTTCTTGACCAAGCTGGAGGGACTAGAAGACGATTGCGAACTGGACGTTCGGGAGCGGGCTAAGAGCGCGGTGTGGCAGATGAAACAGGTCAGCAGTTACTAGACGGCGATTCAGCCGGGGGTGCTGCCGGTTGAAAGGGTCTCATGCATGTATGATATAGATGTACATGGAGTTTTTTAGTTTTGTTTTGCTGTAGGGATACGGCACACGGTACAACAGTACATGATGAATCAAGTACAAACACGGGTTGACCAGACGTGCTTCAAGGATTGTCGAGGACCGGAACCCTGCGGGCCAACCTCGCCTGTCTCCCGGAAGCGGCGGATGGGCTCACCCCTCATGTGATCCGATGATGGTGGTAGGAACAGTAAGCTCTGGAAAAGAACAAAGGTCAAGAATAAAGTACGGATAGTGGCCGGGGGTCCACTATAGGTTCAATGAGGATGTGGGCGGTACGGCGTACGGACAGGGGTCCGACCCGGATCACGATCGACGGCCGGGGTCGCTCGGCACAGGGTTTGGTATGTTGCTGGTGGTACGATGCCCCCCTCCTTGGGGGAGGGGTGAGGAACCACTTTACAACAAGGGTACTGGTAACCGACAGCATCGCGAGTGCAGGCTGATGGATCTCCCTGGACGACAAGAGCACGGATTTGCGACGTTTCTAGATGAAGCATGATGCTGCTTCGTAAGGACTACCATAATAGACAGTTTAGGAGTATCTCCCAAGTGGGCTTGCGCGCCAGCTTACGAGACGGTGGGCAGTGTGACTAGGACGGGTTTTGTGGTTCAAGGGAACATCAACCCTCCATCTCGAGACTGGGGCCACCGCAAGACGCCTCTGGAAATCACGAGATGAGTACGTACGTGAATACTATTGGATACCTTGGTTCGGGACATCTTCTACCAGCTTCTTTACTTGTATAAGTGCTCGACAGAGGTAGGTAGGCAGGTAGGCAGTAACCAATGAAGCGACACGTTCAATTTTCATTTCCTTTTTTTATTTTTCTTCTTTCTTGTCCTTGGGTTCACACGACGGCGGCGTTGCTTGGAGTATCATTTGCGAATGACTTACTATTGTATACTGCTTGAGCCTTTAGTCGATGCCGATGTGATGACACCCATTGAGCTGTGGCCCTCATTATTAGCCATCGTATAGGCGAAGGTATGGAAGTCTAATGGCGGCCTCGGCCGGGCCGGGCCCTGAAAGGCTCTGAGTCACGCCAAGTGGTGTCTAGATCGCCGACGTTGGCCGTTCATTACGTCAACATTATCGTTTTCACCCTCATAGAGAAGCGATTTTTGACCTACAGATACGACATTACCTAGCCTTCGGCATTGACGTTGAGGGAGAGAGAGAGACACAGAGGCGTTCTGCAGCTTTGCGGAGCAAGGGTGACATCCACCATCTGCTCCATCCGGCGGCGTCGTTGGCCCACCAGGTCACCCTTTCTTGCATCTTGCGCTGTTGACTTCGACAAGGAGGGCCTCGTTGGGCTGCGAGTGGAGGAGGGTCGGCGAACGGCTCGTCTGTGCATGTTCCCCGGCCGGCACTTGCTTCCCTTTCGTTGTTCGGCTGCCGGCATTGGCCGCTACATAACGGGTGAGCAAGCTTCGTTTGATCATCGGGACGTCTGGATGGCGTATGGGCGTATGTACGCTACATGCAGTCAGCAGAGATCAGTACTCAAACGCATCGATCCCGGGACACGTCGGTCATGTTTGCGTCGAGATGATGTACGAGGCTAGGGCCAGCCGGTGGGCGGCGGCGTGGCTTTTGCACATTGAGCTCACTGGAATAAGGAATGGGAAGTTGTCTTTGAGGAGAATGATTAGGTGCATGATTTGATGCTCTCTTCCTTACCGAACCGGATACCCACACCCTCCTCATGTGGCGTCTTCCCAGATACACCCGTGAACATGTACCGGAATGGTCTCCGGCATAGGCGGAGCTGGCGCTCACATAATCTCCAATCCTGGCAAGCCGTTAATGATCTCATCCTCGACCGATCACTTCCCGACAATACCCCCCTTTTCCCCGCCACGCTTTCATCTCAGCCATCGAATTGGAGGCAAGTCACAAACGAAATGAGATCTCGGCCCAGTGTGCCCCTCGGCAGAGTATGATGCCCCTGGCGCTCATGATTACTCTGCACGTCCTGGTTGCCTCGCCTTGCTTTGCCAGACAAGGTAGGTCTCCTGACTTGAAGAATCTGACAACGAGATGTTCTTTCGGTTTCCGAGGTGGACAGAACCTTCTGTGATCCACCCTGTCTTTCAAACAACCCGTCCATATGTCCTTGGCCACGACTGTGTGCCTCATCGGGGGTGTACCAGGGTTCTTCTCATTGTCAAATCGCAGGTTTGCACCATGCGTGCGAGACAGGAACAGCAATCGGCGAGTTCGGGCACCAAGGTGGTATCGGACTTGCAGCTACGACATTGTGCCATCACCTTCCGGGCCAACGGTCAAATGTTGCCATGAACTGGATGGAGGGCGCTTGTCTCGTTCAGAAGTATAAGATGATCATAATATTCTCCCTTTGACAGACCTGTTCTGTACCATAATCCTGCAATCATTCCAACCAACTAAATCCATCGCAGCCCTTCCGATACCAACGCAAAATCTTGCCTGGTTGTCTATTGAGCTTCTCCAGGATACACACCACCTTACCAACACTTGATCCGGATAGTCGCCGTCATGGGCCTAATTCTCAGGAGAGATAATGACGCACTCAACGTCAACCCGCTCCCAAATATATATGAGGAACTCAGCGTCAATGGCTCCGACTGGCTTTGGGCTTGCGTCGCAATCTACTTGTTCTTCTTTGTACGTCCCCCGAGCACGCCTCTCCCGACTCTGCTAACACGCGCCAGCTCGGTGTCTATGCCCTGTCGTACAAGCCCAGAGGTAATGAGAAGATCTTCCACTACCTCTTGAACATCGCCCTGCTCGTCGGCGCCATCACCTACTTCGCCAATGCCTCCAACCTCGGCTGGTCTATTGTGACCCAGGCCGACTCGAATGGTGCCCCACGACAGATCTTCTTCAACAAGTACATCAACTGGGTCGTGGCTTTCCCCATCGTCAACATCCTTCTCGGTCTCGTCGCAAACTCCTCGTGGGCCACGATCGTTTGGCACATTGTCCTCTCCTGGGTCTGGGTCATCAGCTACCTGGTGTCCGCCTACACTCCTTCTGTCTACAAGTGGGGTTTCTTCGTCTTCGGCACCGTCGCGTATCTAGTCATGGCCGCCTCAACCTGCGGCGAGGGAAGTGCCAGGGCGAAGCGTGTTGGCACCCAAAGAGACTACTATGTCCTCGCCGGCTACTTCAATCTCCTGTGGCTCCTATACCCCATTGCCTTTGGTATTTCCGAGGGCGGAAACACCATTGGCGTCACTCCCCACTTTATCTTCTTCGGCATCCTGGACGTCCTCATGATCCCCTTTGGTGCAGTCATCTTCCTGGTGCTCTCCAGGAACTGGGACTACAACGCTTTGAACCTGTACTTTACTCAGTACGGCCGTGTCCCTCAGGGTGGAAACTTGCCTGAGAAGTCGACGCCTTCTGCTGCCGCGCCTGCGACGGCGGCCCCCGCCGGAGCCCAGCAAGTCTAGGCGACATATTGAACACCGCGTAATTCTAAGCCGGATACCGATCCTTGCTTTCAGATGATTCAACACCCTCAAAAAAAGAATAAAATAACATGATCGAATGCGGAAAGAGAGCACATTCATTTCAGAATGGTCGTTGAAAGGGAAGGTCGTCATAGACCGGGTGGAGTATGGACTGGAGATACCCTCGCTCGTTTTGTTTTAATTCGGATTCCCCTCGATGGTTTGAAAGTTGAATCTAAATAATTTTAATGGGGTAACGGTAATATGTCGTCGGAATAATATCTTGACTGTAGCATTCAGCTAGGTTTGATCTCTACATACTTGTTGGAAAACTACAGTGGCTGGATTGCCAACACTCTGATCGACGATACCGAAGACGTGGCTCGAGAAGTAAGAGAGCGAGGAATTTACATATCCACCGTAGACATCAATAGAGCCAGATCTATTTCTAGGTGCCCGAAGTGTGACCAGCGTTTCGCTCACAGGCTGTGGCCACGAAACCGCCATGAGAATCACGGACGATATACTGATCCCAGAGAGAGGGGAAACTTCTTCAAGGTCAACTGGCATGCAAGCATTCGTGCACAAGTCGATCATGAGGAAGGGCGGAAGCGAGAAGAGTGGCAATGTGGAGTTAAAGGCTATGAGAACATGCCGGACTGTTTGAAAGCAGAATAGACACTCATCGTCCCAGCATAATCAATAATTAACATTTCCTACATTGTAAGAAACAGTAAAGCTAGTACAGTAGCCCAGAATGACTGTTAGCAGATGAGAAACACCGCCGGGTGCTCTTGGTCTCGGTGGCATTCATCTATAGCCGTACGGCACTGCAGCGTTCTGTTCTGTATGTCGAGGCTCAACAACCAATAACAGAGCCCCTGAACCTATTGAGGGTATACAACGGCCCAGTCCAAGCAGCCTTAGTCGACATATTCGTCGGCGGACACTACATCCCAAGATGCCCATATCGGGCGAGGGGTCTCCGCCGCCAGCTCGGCATCGACCTAATCAGTGCACTTGAACGTCTTTCTAGCTCTCGACTACCTACTGTAACATACGTGGAAGAGGAGATTGAAATGTCGCAGAAGCCCTGGATAATAATCGTACGACTTTCGAGCCACATCGTCCGATGCCGGCTCCATACCAGTATTGGTCCTAGACAGCAGCAGGATGCTAGGGCTTTTTTGGGGGGGGGAGGGTTTCTTCTAGACTGACTTTCATCCTAACCTACCGACTTTTTGTCCGCTGAGAGTCTCGATCATAGATGGGCCTTGAAAGCGATTAGATGCACAAAAGCAACCCTGGTGAACTTCCCCAACCAAAAGAACCGACTCAACAAGCTCAGGTTTCGTGCCCCCATCACCGCCCGTAGGGTTCGGGGCCCGAATGCATTGGAGGTCATGAAGAATTGGTGCAAATCTCCAAGGCTCTCCGGTCTTTTGTCGTCTCACACACGACTCTACCCACGGTCAACTGCAGCACCGTCGAGGGCAACTATAAGCCCGCCAAACGCATACATACGCTCGACGATGGAAATTGCCCTCTTCACTAAAACCACTCTCTCTCGTATCCGGTCAACTGCGTTCCAAGCAAGGCATGCATGAACCATTGGTCTTTCTCGTGTTACTCCAGATAACCATTCAAGACACCGTCTCACTTTCTCGCCCCCAAAAACAATCAAAGACACAAGAAACCTACGGCCCGCGACTCGGCTGTGTCGATACGGGGGCCGGAACCAGCCGAGACGGCTTTGCCATCATCTTGCACAGTGCTCCCTATGTAATCTTCTCCCGGGCCGACCTCAGAGACTTCGAGACCCTCCTACAAGATTCCTATTCGATCGCCCCCACGTGGTCTCGCCTGGTCCTGTGCCGGAAGCATACTGATGCTTCTGATTCCCTTTGCACACGGCCTTTACTAAGCGGCGGCGAACACCCTACCACCACTCTGCGTGTGCTTCACCTTGCGGGAGCGAGGCCGTGCCACAGAGCGCTTGTACACACGAGAAAAACAGGCCGTATCTCCATGGTTCGACGGCTCTCGGGTACTATACGTTGCGTACATTCCTGGGCCTGTCTTGCTCTCCCGCCAAACTCGCGAGTGTAGAGCAAATGGGCCTTGCTATTGGGCATTCCTCTCGATAACTGACGCCGGTTTGCAGAACGCTGTTGAGCCCGAAGGTTCCATGACTTCGTAGCTCCCCTGCCATTCTGCCCCTCTCTCTCAAGAAGTACTTGCGCCATCGCACTGTGTCTAACTCTAACACTCTCTCGCCCCGACCAAGGGCCGTCTGCCCTGATGTTGTCACCGCACCCACATCCACTCCCGGCATCGATAAGTAGCATTGCCTTGTTGTCGTCCTCCGGCCCATAGCCCAACCGCGGGGCCGACGGGTTTCTTGCCGCAAGGTGCGGCGCCGCCTCGCCGTTGTTGTTGATCAGCGTCGCGACGTCCAGGGGGGGGGGGGGGGGCCGTGAGCGGCGGCCGTGTGCAGAGCCCGGCCGTAGCAATCCCTTGCCGAAGCGTCCGGCCCGGCGGCAGCCACATCGACCTCAGCCGCAATCGGGAGCCCTGCGGTTTCTCCGCACTCCGCACTGATAGCCGGATGAGGTGCGGCGAACTCACGAGAGGTTATCCTACTAGAGATACCTGCTTCGTTACGGATGAGTTCCGCCATGCGCTCATGGCCGCCACTTGTTCACTGCTCCATGCAGAGATCCAGCTCGGACCTCCCTAGGCAGACGGGACAGGCTTGCTGATTCGGGCAAAAATGCGTGTTTGGTACGCGAGGATGCAGATTTACGAGAGTGAGCGCAAGCAGGCCGTGGAGAGGCAGCATAAGCGGAGTGTTCTCTTCGTTTGCATTAGGGGTGTACGGGTCAAGGACTCACCGCCGTGCCCTCCCCAGTGCGAAGGTACTTCTCTTTTTACGCTATATTCGAGTCCGAAGTGTCGGCGCCATCGAGCTTGGACTAGCTGGACGAGCTGGATGCTCGTCCAAGGAATGGTATGTATCTACGTAAACTGGAACGGGACCGAGGTAGGAGTGACAGGCGTCACGGAGTTTCGTTGATTTAGTCGCCCACTGCGCGAGGGAGTCGCGCCAGTCGCCGGAGCACGATGAACCTTCTCAATGTCAAACAGGTTCGAGCATCCAACTGCCTCTTGTGAGTTGGATTGCCCCCAGCGAAGACCTAGACTTGGCCCAAGGCGCCAAAACAGCCTTCGCAGAAGTCTCGGGGAACAAACTTGGGGATCGGAGCGCGAAGGAAAGTCCGAGCCTGCGAGGGAAAACAAACCAGAGGACTATGGACCAAAGCGATCGCCCCCTTGACCGAAGATCGCCTGAGGTGATGTTCGGCGGATGCTCTCGCAGAGCAGGCCGGCAGCCCGTGGTGCCTGTCGTCGTCGGATGTCGTTGGATCCCGACATCCGACGACGGGAGCTCACGAGCCGACCCCCCCCCCCCCCCCCCGGGACGGGCAGGCATCCGATCAGTCTTGGACGAACGGAGAGCCCGGCCGGCAGGGTTGCTTAATCCCCAGAACAGACGACGCTGATCTTGGGGAAACCGCGGGGATCGGAGGCACTTCTCTGAGAATGACGACCCCGGCATGTTTTTCGAAACCAGGCGACCGATCATTCGTAGACGGCAGCTGGAAGCAACGATGCAAGAGGGTGCGATTGTGACGCAGCCATGTTTCATTCCGTCTTGGCCAAGAGAGACAGCACACGCTGCTTTGGGGGGGGCGGGGGGGCTGGGGAAAAGCCGTCGCAAGTAAAGCCATCGCCGCGTCACCCGGAAGGGGACCAGTCAACGGGAGAGCCCGGCTGGCAGCTGGAGCGGTGGCGACGTTCGGCGAATACGTCGAGTTGCACGTTTTTGTCCCGCGGGCGGAGGGGGGGGGGGGGATGATTGCCTCCCGTTGGAGCTTTTTCATCCCGTTTGTAACTGGTCTGCTCTTCGGGTCCTGGGCCATGTGGCTTTCGAGTCAAGACGCATAACGAGCAGCCCTCCAGCGCAGGACGGGGCACTCCTGGAACGGGGATATAGCACCGCCCCAGCTCCGAAACTGGCCGGGCACACGGGGCTCTGCCACCATCTGCCGTCTCGATTTCCGTCTCTCGCCGGGCTGGTGCAGGCAGGCAGGCGGGGTGAATGGCGGCAGAGGGAGATCTAGTCAACACGAGACTATTTGGACCGGATACCCACACACACACACGCACGCACGCACTTGACCTTCAGGAATGCCAGCTAGCTGGGGCCCTGGGGCTCTCGGGGTTGTCCATGTCTTGTTTCCTCTCACGGCCCCTGACGGGAAAACTGTATTGGAAAGGCGGGGAGGGCATACACACACACAAGAGAGCGAACGCCAAGACTGAGAACGACTTCAGACGTCTCATGCGTTGGCGGCGCACACACCGCGGGACGAATATGTAGTGTGCCTCTTCTCGCTTTCTCGGCACGCACCTATTCTTCATGGTACGACCGACCACGCTGCACTCCGCGAGTAATTCCCACTTGCAAAGTCAGTGTCACGAAGAAGAAAATAAGGATTGGGGAAAAAGATGGAGGGGGGGGCAGGGCGAGACGGACGACACACCACCACCCATTGGTAAGAGGTTTACCGGTAACCCAAGAGAGTTTGCGCTTTTCTCTGTGGCGTGAGCCAAAGCTTCTGCCCCCCTCTACAGCTTCTTCTTATTTTTTTGAGACAAACGAGACAAGTTCGGACACATACACACACCAGAACAAGGTTAAAGCCTGCCTCATGTCCTCGCCCTTTCGCGCCATGGTGGTTCGACCGAACGTTTGTGACTCGCCCTCACAGGCAACGACCCGGTGCTGGACAGATTCCTCTTGTTTCAACCGCCCAAGTCCGTGGGGGAGGGAGGGAGGGTTTGGAGGTTTGAGACTATGGGCTTAAATCGTCTCTTGGTATAGTCTAACAGGAATAACAAGAAGAAAATGAAGATAAGAATAAAGATTTCGCGTT